TTGTGCTGAAAATTATAATTGAAATTGTGATTGTGGTCGATGTCCCTAATGGATAGCCTAGCCAATCGGATCGTGATCGGACTCCGTGTTAAAGACGGTGGTATTGATATTGAGAGTGATTCTGGTTGATGTCTCTAATGAGATAGCCTAGCCGATCGGGTCGTGATCAGACTCCGTACTGAGAATTCGGTGGTACTCATATTGTAGACAATGGTATATCGATACTAAACATCTCCCAATGTGAGATATGAAAATTAATTTGAACACTGTTTTGATCCTAAATTAAGGTTTGATGTTAATTAAGGCTTTCATTGGTATTATGATAATCTTATTTGTATTATTTGTCATTCTATTGAGAGGGTGTTTAGTTATACATACTAGTACTATTCGACAGTACTAACGTCCCTTTTGCCGGGGGCGCTTCCACAACATGAGATATTGGTCAGTGATAGCAGTGCACCTTCTTCCCAACTAACTTGGTGAGCCCCACTTCATTTCGGGGTCATGAATCTTTTGTACTTTGTGTATTCTATTTGAGGTATAGCCGGGGCCTTGTTGCCGGCATTATCATTGTACTTTTCTTTATCTATAAAGGCTCCGTAGACATAGTTTGGGTTGTGTATTGGTGTTGGGAAAGACAAACTATGCTATGTTGTGGTTGTATTACTTGTCCTTTTTAGACTTTAAAAATGGTGAAACTTAGGATAAGAAATTGGTAATTGCAGACATGACCACTTTATTGTTTAATTAAGGAAAACATATATTCTCTTTATTCATGAATGAGTTTGGGTAGAAGGAATCTAACAGGCTTGCTCGGTCGGGTTCACTAGGTTGAGCGCCGGTCGCGCTCCTCGGTTTTGGGGCGTGACAGATCTCTTCTGTGATTATTTTACTGGGGTCGAAGATGCTACCGGCCTGAACGACTTGGAGGTCCCGAGGAAGGACTCGGGTGAGGCATCGAGCCTCTTCAACGAAGCGCAACAAGCTCTAAATCGGGTAAGCCTTAACTCTCCATGTTGGTATTACACTTGTGTTTGTTTTTCTCTTTGTCTAACTCCTTTTCTTCTTTCTGCGTAGGCCTCAGCGCTTCATCGGGAAGTATTTTTTCGGTCTCGAGCTGAGATGAGTCGATATGAGGCCGATCTTCGAGGGCTCACGGAGGAGAGAAATGCCCTTAAACTTCTCTGTGGGCGAAGAGAAGAGGAAATCAAGGACCTTCGAGCCGAGTTGGCCAAGGCTCACTAGGATCAGTCTGACCTAATCGAGCAGGTAATGACAATCTTAAAAACTCATGGGCTCGATTCAGGAACGATGGCTAATATTTCGATCTCACAGCTGCAGCAGATGATCGAGATGATCGGGCAACTCCGTGAGGAGATCGACATGGTAAAGGCGGAGACCTTGGGGTGGAAAGAAGGTATGGATCGCTTTGCTGCAGAAAATGAGACTGCCTTGTCCCAATTGTCATCGGCCGAAAGTCTGCTTCGAGGCATGAAAGAGAAGAGCTCTGTTCAGGAAAAGAAAATAGCGGCGGTCGAAGCTCGGTTGGCTTCCAAACTTGAAAAGGCCAAATCTGAAGCTGAAAAGGCTAAAGCCGAGGTAGACACGATCGTGACCGTCTACCGAGCCGATGCTGAAGTCACTCAAGTACAAGTGAGAGAGGCAGCCAAGACTGCTCAAACTCGAGCGTATTGGATTGCTGAACTTGCCAAGTGCCAATCTCGGAGGGAAAACCTCGAGGAGATCCACACTCGAGGTTTCGATCTAGCCGATGAGATAATAAAGCCTAAAGAGTGTGAAACCGAAGTTGCAGCGCTAGCCTCCAATGATGACGATGATGATGATGAGAGCAAAAGCGGGTCCAAGAGCGGGGAGGACCTCGATGGAGAAGAAACTGCCCCCGGAGAAAATCAGGAACCTTATGTTTTTTTATTTTTGATCTTTTGTGTAGGGTCCTAATCGGACCATGTAAATATCTTCATAAAGATCTCTTTCTTTCCCGTCTTGCTTTATTTCATTCTGTGCCTTATGAAAATTTTGTTTCATTCATGCCTTATGAAAATTTTGTTCATAAGTTCAAGGCTTTAGGTAATTTGATTGAAGTTGGACTAGTCGAGTGAGTACTTGCTCGAACTCGGAGTAGGGTGACCTTTAGAGTTTGATTGAGAATGGTTGCTCGAACTCGAGTTAGGGTAGCCCTTAAGATTTATAGTCGAGTGGGGATTTGCTCGAACTCGAAATAAGAATAGCCCTTAGGCTTAGTGGCCGAGTGAGGACTTGCTCGAACTCGAAATAATATAGCCCTTGGGCCTTATGGTCGAGTGAGTGTTGCTCAAACTTGAAGTAATGTAGCCCTTAGGCCTTATGGTCAAGTGAGTGTTGCTCGAACTTGAAGTAATGTAGCCCTTAGGCCTTATGGTCGAGTGAGTGTTGCTCGAACTCGAAGTAATGTAGCCCTTAGGCTTTATGAGTTAGTGTTTACTCGAACTCGAAATAAGGTAGCCCTTGGGCTTGATAGATAGTCCCCGAGTGAGAATGGTTGCTCGAACTCGAGTTAGGGTAGCCCTTAGGCTTTATAGTTCAGTGAGGATTTGCTCGAACTCGAAGTAATGTAGCCCTTAGGCTTATGTGGTCGAGTGAGTGTTGCTCGAACTCGAAGTAATGTAGCCCTTAGGCTTTATGAGTGAGTGTTTACTCGAACTCGAAATAAGGTAGCCCTTGGACTTGATAGATAGTCCCCGAGTGAGAATGTTTGCTCAAACTCGAGTTAGGGTAGCCCTTAGTCTTTATAGTCGAGTGAGTATTTGCTCGAACTCGAAGTAATGTAGCCCTTAGGCTTATGTGGTCGAGTGAGTGTTGCTCGAACTCGAAGTAATGTAGCCCTTAGGCTTATGTGGTCGAGTGAGTGTTGCTTGAACTCGAAGTAATGTAGCCCTTAGGCTTTATGAGTGAGTGTTTACTCGAACTCGAAATAAGGTAGCCCTTGGGCTCGTTAGATAGTCCCCGAGTGAGAATGGTTGCTCGAACTCGAGTTAGGGCTAGCCCTTAGGCTTTATAGTCGAGTGAGGATTTGCTCAAACTCGAAGTAATGTAGCCCTTAGGCTTATGTGGTCGAGTGAGTATTACTCGAACTCGAAGTAATGTAGCCTTTAGGCTTTATGAGTGAGTGGTTACTCGAACTCGAAATAAGGTAGCCCTTGGGCTCGATAGATAGTCCCCGAGTGAGAATGGTTGCTCGAACTCGGGTTACGATAGCCCTTAGGCTTTATAGTCGAGTGAGAATTTGCTCGAACTCGAAGTAATGTAGCCCTTAGGCTTTATGAGTGAGTGTTTACTCGAACTCAAAATAAGGTAGCCCTTGGGCTCGATAGATAGCCCCGAGTGAGAATGGTTGCTCGAACTCGAGTTAGGATAGCCCTTAGGCTTTATAGTCGATTGAGAATTTGCTCGAACTCGAAGTAATGTAGCCCTTAGGCTTATGTGGAGCTTGATCTCGTTGATTTTTCGGTTGGCAGTCCCCGATTTATGGGGTAATATTTCAAACTACGGTCATGGTCGGCCCTTGAGCCTGTTTGCATAATAGATTATGAAATAGAAAAATCTTTTCGAGATATGAGGTATCGGTAAAGAAGAAATTTCTCTTTACAAGTCATTATACATGTGTTAATGTTTTGTGTCAGGGCTCGAGCAAACTACACGGGCATGGTTTGTTTTGACCATTTGGCCCTTGCAATTTTTCCTATCGAAACCTTGTTGCCATGATGTAACTTTCTTGCATAGAACTTAATATATTCGAGAGTAATGCCCCCCAGTATTCGAGGTTGATTGTAAAGAGGCCTCAGATACTATTGAGTTGTTCTGAGTTAGCATGATCAATGGTTGCCTCATTAAAAATCTTGCCGAAAAACCCATTTGGGATAAAAACGGTCTAAGGGAAAAAGAGTGCAACATGTGCTTTCAGACCTAAAGGCTTCGAGTTGAATAATCCATCCATGTTTCTGGTTGAACACCTGCAAGGGTTAATTTCGAAATATAAATGAACATGGGAGGGTCGTACCTTAACAGTAATATCATTTTAGGTGCGAAACATTCAAATTGCTCGGTAGTTATTTGCCGTTTATCACGCCGAGCTTGTAGGACCCCTTTTCGACGATTTCGAGGACTTGATATGGTCCTTCCCAGTTCGGACCCAATTTTCCTTCATTCAGATTTCGGGTGTTGAGGGTGACTTTCCTTAGTACCAAGTCCCCAATTTTAAAATATCGAAGATTGGTTCTTCGATTATAGTATCTTTCGATCCGTTGTTTTTGGGCGGCCAATCGGACGAGAGCGGCCTCTCGTTTTTCGTTCAATAATTCAAGGCTCGTGTTCATGGTCTCATTATCCAACTCCTTTGTTGCATATCGAAACCTGATGTTAGGTTCTCCGACCTCAACCGGGATCAAAGCTTCGATGCCATAAACCAACGAGAATGGCGTTGCTCCAGTACTGGATTTCAATGTTTTGCGATATGCCCATAGGACCTCAGGCAGTATTTCTCTCCATTTTCCTTTGGCGTTGGTCAATCTCTTCTTAAGATTTTGGATGATGGTTTGTTGGTCGATTCGGCTTGTCCGTTTCTGCTGGGATGGTACGGTGTTGATAGGATCCTTTTGATTTTATGATCCTCGAGAAATTTAGTTACTTTGCTGGCGATGAATTATTTTTCATTATCACATGCAATCTTGGCTGGAACCCCAAATCGACATATGATGTGGTCCCAAATGAAGTCTATCACTTCTTTTTCTCTGACTTTTTCAAAAGCCTGTGCTTCAACCCATTTAGAAAAATAATCAGTCATAAACAAAATAAACTGAGCTTTACCTGGGGTCGATGGGAGGGGGGCGACGATGTCCATCCCCCATTTCATGAAAGGCCATAGATATAGGACCGAATGGAGTGGCTCCCCGGGTTGATGAATCACGGGCGTATGTATTTGGAATTTGTTGCATTTTCGAACGAACTCCTTCGCATATTTACTTATATCTGTCCAATAATACCCTGCTCTGATCGCTTTATGGACCAGGGAATCGGCACCAGAATGGTTTCCACAAGTGCCCTCGTGAATTTCCCATAGTATGTAATCGGTATCTCCTGGTCCCAAACATATTGCCAATGGTCCATCAAAAGTCCTTCTAAATAGCGTTCCGTCTTCGGATAGGGTGAATCGTGCTGCCTTTGTGCGCAAAACTCTCGATTCCTTTGGATCTGATAAAAGTTTCCCGTTCTTGAAGTACTCTATATATTTGTTTCTCTAATCCCAGGTTAGACTTGTGGAATTTATCTCGGCGTGACCTTCTTCGATCACCGATTTTATGAGTTGTACAATAGTCCCCGAGTTGAGCTCGTCATCTTTGACCGATGAACCTAAGTTCGCAAGAGCGTCGGTCTCGCTGTTTTGTTCTCGGGGTACGTGCTGCAAAATCCATTCCTTAAATTGATGTACATTCACCTGTAATTTATCCAAGTACCTCTGCATTCGATCTTCTCGGACTTTGAAGGTCCCGTTAACCTGGTTGACCACGAGGGGGGAATCACACTTTTGCGGCCAGTTGCTCTCCGTAGATCGTTTTGACTCCCTCCGATGTTGGGAATTTCAGAACCTGGTAGAGGGTCGAGGCTACGGCTCTCATATTGTGGATCCACGGCCTTCCAAAAAAAGCGTTATACCTCATATCGCCTTCAATCACGTGGAACTTTATTTCTTAGATGGTCCCGGCCACGTTTATTGGCAGGATTATCTCGCCCTTAGTAGTTTCACATGCCATATTGAATCTATTTAGAACCAGGGTTGTGGGCACGACCTGGCCCTGTAGACCGAGCTGCTCTACGACCTTTGATCTAATAATGTTGGTCAAACTACCTGGATCAATTAACACATGCTTAACTTGAGTTTTATTCATAAGTACAGATATTACCAGTGCATCGTTATGGGGTTGCATGATTCCTTCTGCGTCTTCATCACTAAAGGACAAGGTTCCTTTAGGTGTGTAATCCTGAGACCGAGATCGCTTTTCTCTTTCAATCGACATCTTAGTGCGCTTAAGCACCAGCCCATGGGGGATATCGATCCCACCGATGATCATGTAGATGATGTGTTGTGGCTCTTCTTGTTCGTTTTGTCTTATGAAATCCCTATTTTTGAAATTATTTTTGGCCCGGTCACATAAAAATTCTCGAAGGTGCCCTTTATTGAATAACCGGGCTACCTCCTCTCTCAATTGCCCGCAATCTTCCGTTCTGTGGCCATGAGTGCCATGATATTCACACATTTGATTGGGATTCCTATAGGCTGGATCGGTCTGTAGAGGTCGAGGCCATTTAGTATCTTTGATGCGTCCGATAGCCGACACAATGGCTAGTGCATCGATGTTGAAGTTATATTCTGATAACCGCGGTGCTTCCTTAGGTCCAGTATGCCTGTCGAACCCATTCTTGTTCATCAGCCCCCGATACCCTTGGCCTCAATCACTTCTTTTATTGCTTTGTACGAGGTTATGTCTTGGTTCGTTGCCCCTATAATCTCTACTATACGACCGGTATCAGTCCCTGATCGGCCTTTGTTCTCTGTTGACGTCCCCTTTAATAACGGACCCAGAACCCAACTGGTCGTCTTCGACTCTAATCTTTGATTGATACCGATTGTGAACATCGGCCCAGGTAACAGCTGGGTACTCGATTAGGTTCTACTTCAGTCGTCGTGAAGCTATCGAGCTTCGTTCGTTCAGACCTTGAGTGAAAGCTTGAACAACCCAATCGTCTGTGACTGGTGGTAGGTCCATTCGTTCCATTTGGAAACGAGATACGAATTCTCTTAGCATCTCGTTATCTTTTTGCCTTACCTTGAAAAGGTCCGACTTCCTGGTTTCAACCTTTATGGCTCTAGTGTGCGCTTTTACGAAAGAATCTGCAAGTATAGCAAAAGAATCGATAGAGTTAGATGGTAAATTATGATACCATATCATTGCTCCCTTTGACAGGGTTTTACCAAATTTTTTCAATAATACAGATTCGATCTCGTCTTCCTCTAGATCGTTCCCTTTAATGGCACATGTGTAAGAGGTGACGTGCTCGTTGGGGTAGGTCGTTCCATTATATTTAGGAATTTCGGGCATGCGAAACTTCTTGGGGATCGGTTTCGGAGCTGCGCTCGGGGGGATAGGCTTTTGTAAGAATTTTTTGGAATCCAAGCCTTTCAATATCGGTGGTGCCCCCGGGATCTGATCAACCCTGGAGTTATACGCTTCTACTTTTTTGTCATTTGCTTCAATCCTCCTTTCTCCTGACTCTATTCGTTTTGTCGGTTCCTCGAGCATCTTAATAATTTCGGGATTAGTCCCCGATTCTTACTCATTTGACCTTACTACAGCTTGCCCCGTTTTGTGGGTGACTTCTTGGGGTGGACTGGGCTCGAGCCTGGTCGGTGCCTCGGTTTGGCTCTGCAATTGGGATATTCCTACTTGTTGAGCTTGCAACATTTCGAAAATCATACGCAAGCTGATTCCGTTTTCCTCAGTGTTTTGGGTATTTCGAGCTACAGTTCGAGTTCCACCTTGAATGCTATTTTTCGAGTCGGAACATTGGTTTGTCTCGATGGCCACATGTGAATTAACTTCTATTGGCTCTTCGACCCGAGCTCCAACGAGATCGATGAGTGGCCTTCCACCCCCCGAGGGTTAAGTTATCGTTCTCATCTTGAAAGCCAGCTTCGTTGTCGATAGGTAGGGGCATTAATTTGAGAATTCATCGTTTTCAACATGAAATTAAAGATACTTCCAAGGACAAGTGCAAAATAGTGTGTTTCACAGAGATTCGTACCAAATAATCACTATTATCCTTAACCCCACGGTGGGCACCAAACTGTTTACCCGAAAAATGGATAGAGTTGAATTTATACGTAGTTCTAAGGACACGTGGTATAACTTGGCACAAATCGAAAAAGTATATAGAAAAATATCGAATATTGACTGTAAAAAAGGAATGAAATACAAGCCAAATTGAATAGAAAACGATTTATGAAAAAGCAAGATGAATCAATGTACAAGACTCACAAAAGGATAATTTCTCCTGTATCTATATGTGAATATTAATTATCTTTTCAATAAGGGAATATGTAGATACCTTCATGTTCAACTGCCCTTACAGAAGTGATAGCCACTCTTTTATAGTGAAGGGATCTTACTTAGGATATAATAAAAAATACATAGTGGGGATCCCATGATAGATTAGTTAATTTAGCTTTTCCTTAATTCCCGCCGAGATTCTCTCCCCAAGTGCGGCTACAACGACTTTTGTCTCTTAGCTCGATCTTGGTCGGACTTGATATTGGTCGATCTCCAGATTTTGAGCTCGATACTGACTCGAGCTCGATATTGACTCGGGCTCGGATCTCGAGTTCCATAACGCCACTTCATATCATAGTTCGATTTGGACTCGAGCCTGATAATGACTTTGAGCTCGGTATTGATCGGTCACTGAATCTTGAGCTTGGTAACCTGGCTTCAGATCTTATCTCGGTATTATAAAAATGACCCTCGGTCCATCATGTTCCAATCTCGACTAATTACATGAAGGGCAAAACCGGTTTTGACCGTATACAGTTATATTTCTGCACACTATATTAAATAATAAAATAACAACTAAGATTTATAAAAATAATATATGATATATTAGATCATAATTTTATAAGATTAATATTTTGTCAAATTATTGCGCGGGTTCTAACACTAGTGTAGAGTAATGATTTAAGTAGTATAACTCATAATTATGTGCGCCAAGATTACTTTAAGAAATTCTTATATATTACTATAATTTGAAAAGAAAATAATTGGCATTGCTTTGGAAAACTGTTTACATTGATATTTTAATGGGGTTAATTGTGCTTTCATTTGTTGAGTTAAAAAATAATTATTGGATAACTTTAATGTTCTAAAAGAAACAAAAATGACTTTAATAGAATATCCCTATAAGTTGTGACTATTTAAGGAATTTATTCTAATATTTTCTTTCTTTTCTGTATGTTGGAAAAGATTGACATCTGGCATGTATTTAAAATTATTTTATTCAAAAAAGAAGTTTGTCTTTATCTGTCGTCCGTTAACTTTAAACCCTGTTGTTATCACATGCGTCAAATATAACACTGACCCTTTACACAAAAAAGGACAAAAAGGAAAAAGAAAAACAAGAACTTATCCGAATGATGTGAAAGTAGAGCAACAAGTAGAACCAAAGCTTCACAAAAATCAGCTTATAATCTCAACATGGCTTCCCCAAGTTGATACTTGCTTCTTTTCTTGTTTGTCCGGTAAGTCCAATAAATAAATTTTACTCCTGTTTAATTACATAATTAATAGACAAGATGACTGTGTTTTTCTCTTAATCTTGGTGGGTATTCATCAATTAATTTGTTGAACTTGGATTTTTTGAGGTTTCTTTTATAAATGGAGCTTTATCTTTGTGTTTATGCGGTTTGACTAGCTATAGGACTTAATTTCAGTTTACTTGTAATTATATACTTACAAGATTTAAAACCCCCCATATAAATTTGAATTCATCATCTTAAAGGAGAATTCCTTGCGCAAAACTCCCTCAGAAAATTGGTTTGAGGTTTGCATGAACTTCTGTTCAAATTATTGCTTTAGGTGAAGAGTTTAATATATATATATATATATATATATGTGCAATTGACTAATAAAATATGAGTCAGTTCAAGTATATTTTTTAGCTTAATTCATTCTCAGCAAGTTTACTTCAAAAAACTAATTCTTTGCACCTAAGACTATATTGAAGAGGAGCTTTGGAGCAACGGTAAAGTTGCCTACGTGTGACCTACAGGTCATGGGTTCGAGCTGTGGAAGTAGCCACTAATGCTTATGTTAGGTTAGACCGTCTACGTCACACCCCTTGGGTGCGGCCCTTACCCGGACCTTGTGTCAATGCGGGATGCATTGTGCACCGGGCTGCCCTTTTATTGTGTTACTCATAGGCATGTTTCTTTTTCTGCATATTTGAAGGAAAGTGTACCAAATTTTTACCAAAATAAGAATTCTGTTTGTAAGCTGATACTTGAATCTGCAGGTTGTGCCGCATGCCATATTGTCTACAGGTTCAATTTGGCTTTTCAGTGGGCAAGATCTATGTTCAAGTAAGATATTTAGAGAAAATAGAATAAACAGCTGTGTTCCTTTTTCTCTTTCTTTTCCTTGGAATCATGTTTGACAAAATGATATATGTCTCTCAGACAATCGATTCGATTCCTATTGGTTAAATGGACCGCTAGTTGTTTTCGAAGAATAGTATGTTGTTACGACATTATGGATAACGAGAAGCTGCAACTCAAGTCCACGTTTATCGAAAGAAACATAGAATGATACATTGTGGAGTCAAGATATGCTGTTGCTTTAGTGTAGTGAACAAAATATAGCTTCACAAAAATCAGACGTAATGATTGCATTGGTGTCGCCTGCTAACATTCTTGAGTAGTCCATATCAGCACTTTGGTGCATCTTGATTGTCTCTATTATGCTCATTTTTCTCCGTGGTCGAAGAACTTATGTTTGACAGTTTGACTTCGGCTTTAGACAGTAGTAGATAAGAGGGTCACATGAGGGGTCATCAGTTTGATTTAGTTCTGATATGAATTGACTAGAAGTCAGAATCACTAGCGGATAAAGCATTTCTATGAGATAACTTATGAAAAGGAGGAAGACAGTAGCAACGATGCCAGGTACCTTGATGTGAAAATCCAATTTCAGATTGTTTTATGATATAGTGAATGCGACTATTCTCTTTCAACAAGAGATTAACTGGTCAATCACTAATCAAATTGTGATCAATTAGGACTTTATTTTTAGGAGGGATCTTTAGATATAAAGGATCCAGTTATATGAAGTTATTGGAGACTTTTGCTTTATGTCCCCTTAGTTAGGTGTCACAGTCCTTTTCCTATGAATATTTCGATGAGTTGTTGCACTAGGCGTGATGTTTTTTCTTCTAGAAAAGCAGTGAAAAGTGGAAACTAAGGCCCCAGTGGAATTGCAATGTTCTTCTAGTGGAATGCTACTCGGGAGGACTTCTTAACTGGTGATAACTAAGCACTGTGAGCTCGAAGTTACGATCAACGAGCTGATCATTGTTTCTTAGATTGTCCACTGACTAAACAGTTCTGAGCTATGTTTAGTTTCTCATGGCTAATGCCGCCAAACTTGTCATGCTTTTCCAATTACTAGCATTGCAGTTAATTTGGAAGGATGTTTGCCAGCAAATATACTCATAGCATTTCCTTTTTGGGGAAATACACAGAAAAAGATTTCCTTTTCGAGAGGGAAACTACTTGGGCCGTATCAGGCCTTCTAATCTTTTATATTCAGCTGAGTTCAAACCTAAGTTCCCGGTTAATCATGGTATATCTGGGGATTTTGAGGAAAGGTTTTTGTTTGTTTGGGAGGGGGAGGGGGGGATTAGGGGGGTTAAGATCTGATCCGCTATGGTTGGTCCGGTCTGCCTTCTCCTCTTTAAAATACTTTGTCTAAAGTGCATTTGAAAGCTACTGAATGTTTAACATATTTCCAGTGAATAAGAGCTCTTCGAGTGAGGTAAAAAAGAAGTAACTTAGAAAGGAGTCTGACAGTTTTTACGCATCAAGAAAGTAGTAACACTGCAACATCACTTATCTAAAATGCTGGATCTTTGCATAGTTTGATTTTGGTTTTACTGTTTTAATGCATTCAGTTAACCTTATCTTCATAATTGTGATACACAACTGTGTCTATCTATAGTATGTGATGCTGGTGTATACGACATGAATTCTCTTCTCTCTCCATCACCTTTGTGGTGCTTCACTAGTATGCTATATTAGTGCCCGTTACATTCTGGAGGAACTAACAAACAGTTCGTTTTTTCACAAGGTAGTACTTCTAATGATACTTGTTATTAGGGGCTGGGAGGTTCATCAGTTGTTTCTGTGGATCTGCCAAAAGACGCTGAGTTACCAGGACCTTTTTGTGAAATAAGAGTAATTTTTGTTCATTGTCTGCATGCTTCTGATTATGAGGATTTGGTCGGTCAACATTACTTTTAATGTACTTCAATCAATCGTTAGAGAGCATAATGACTTATTTAAAACTCCAGTTGACATGTTTTTGTTGTTTTAGACTGGAGTTGAATAGTTGCCTGAGATGATCTGTATTTGAATTAATTAGCCACGTTTATTGGATCTTCAACCCAAGCGCATGAATTACTTACTGTCACTGAAGAAAAGTGTGGTTCAAAATCATGGCATCATATTGATCAAGAAAAAGAACCTTAGTCTGCATTTTGGAAATAAACCGTGCCAAATTTTTACACCTAAGTAACTAATATAATAATTTGCTAAAAAAAGAATATAATAATTTGTTTATGACTCAATTGCTCCTTGTTTTTGTACCACCAGTGATGATGAACCGTTGGCCTTCAAGAACATGCACGAATTTTCTGCGACGGATGGCTTTGTAGAGATAACTGAATCCTTGGCAGACATGATAAAGTTCATCGCAAATGAGCCCTCCATGGGTCTTTTCTACATTCAACATCATACTCAGAGTGCAGCTCCCAACCTTATCAATCTCAAGAACAATATTCAGGAAAAATCTCGTGATGTGACTTTGCACGCGGAAGATTCAGAGGATTCTATCACCATGATCAGGTCGATGAAAGATTGTGGTGCCCCAATTGCTAATGAGATGATTAAAGATCTGAGACATTCTCTAGCTGTTGTGTCGAAGAATAAGCAATTGAGAAAAGGGTTAATAAGGCAGTCCAGGTCAACTTTTCAGTTAGGGCGAACTAGTTCTTGGAGTCCTGCCACTTGGGGTCGAAGTACAGTTCCAGAATTGGATGGTGAGAGTGGTTATCTCTCAAATATTTTCAGGTCAGAGGCGGATCTAGAGTTTAAGGTTCTTATCACCAAGTCCATTACACTTTTAAACTAATGGGTTGAAAATTTAATATTTGTTGAAATTTTAATAATTTTTCACATATATATCTATACTATGTGTCAGAACCCAGTGAAATGAGCTTCATTGACTTCTCTTTCAGGTCAACGAAAGAAAAAGCTAATAGCTTCAAGTGGTCTCAATTAGAGTCCAAAGAATCTGATGTAACCTATACTGATGATGCACTATCAGCTGTAGCGGCCGGATCTTTGTTCTCAGTTTCAGAGGCGAATGATGAAGAGTTGCCATTATCAAGTCCAACTAATAATGAGCTACAAGTGATGCAGGTGAATATAAGCATGTCCAATGATCAACTGCTCTCTTCATCAGAAAAGTATGAAGAAGTTATGGCTGATAAAGAAGCACAATTGGAGGAGTGGTTGGGAGGGATTGGCAATAGTAATACTGGTCCCGGAGAAAATAAGCTTGGTCGTATCATTAGGGAGAGCTCTCACTAGGGAGAGCTTTGCTCGTATCATTATTCATTATCTTTGTACTAAAAGAATAAATGTTATAGAGAGATTTTAATAGTAAGGAAACAGAAATGAAAGACTCGAGCTTGATGGTCTCGAGATTTGATCCTGCTTATCAAGTAAATTTAAATGTGCATAAATATTACTCCCTATGCTAAATTTATGTAATGCAGTTAGGAATTCGAGAGTTAAACAAGTTTTTTTTTGACCACGATTTTCGCATATACTTATTAAATATTTTGAATTGTTAAGTATCATAACTTATAGTACTTTTTATGTCGTTTTCAAACATGTAAATTTTGTTTCAAAATATTTAGGGATTCTATGGCTGAATTCACGGTTACAATTAAGAAGTTTGATTTTCGAAATTTGAGTTACATCACATAAATTGGAACGAATTGAATGAGCAAGAGTTCCTTTTGTATTGAGGATTGTTATCTCTTGAAATTTCATCTTAGGTACAAATGAGAAATCCAACCTAGATTGCATGTTCTCTACTAAAATCAAAATGGCATCGCATCCAATTGGAGTTGCTAAACTATCTTTTTCTTAGTACTCATATTGTTGTTCAACTAAATAGAATTCGTGGCCTATAATACCCACTAAAAGAGAAGTTTTTCCTACTAGAATTATAAGTGAATAATCTTAGAAACCAGTTTGTTTCAAATTAATCTTAGTGTGTCATTTTTTATTTAATTGATATTCTTGGGGTTTCACTGCAAACTATGGAAAGAAAAATGAGAGAAAGTTTCCTTTTATGGCTTTCATTTGCTTGGATAAGAAAGTACAAGGGCGTGAATTATCGGTGTTAGGGATTGTTTTCTTCACTCAAATCCTAACCATTATTTATTTTCCACTATAAATATTCAGAAAACATATCTTTTCTACACCATAATGGGAATTTATCAATATTAATTAATAGATTTTACAAAAATATAGTAGAGTTCAAATAAATAATTACCTAATGGATGAATTAGCACCTTTTATGGGTAGAGTACTAGTCAACAATGATATTCCTGACACATCGAATAAAAAAAAGTAGAATAATGCATGAAAAATATTTAAAAGAAACAACATATGTTGAATACATAGACGACCCTTAAATTTATCAAAAACTTTTATTTAGACATTCTGACTCATGCCATAACTTATTAGCCGCAAGATCTCTGCTCAAAAGGGAAGAGGCGCAAACATAACTAGAAGCTCACGAAACGAAAAACAGTAAAGACACAAATGTAAACTAGTCAAGGGAGTGATCAAGATCCCCTTCAAAGGCCCATGGAGTCTCATTCCGAATCTCTGCCTCTTCCTCAAGGGTGAAGTCACTAGTGATATTGAAAATCTTCCGAACAACTTCAGGCGTTTTTTTCTTAATCCTGTTAGCCACCGCCTCAGCGCACAACTCAAGCAAACTGTTGATGTCAAGGAAATTTGCAGCTTCTAAGATTTTAAAGATGGTTTTGAAGCCAATGTTCACAAATTCCTTGTCGAAGTTCTCGATTTCTTCTTCATTTGAAGAAGTCGAGGAGTGCATCTTCAAGTAATCGATGATCTTGATCAGGGTTTCTGTGTCGACGTTGCTCAGCGGGACGACACTAGAGGAGCATCCATCTTCGACCATGTTCTTGATTGTTACAGACTGAATGGCAATGGATTCTTCTAACTCAAACTCATCACCATTTGACGACTTCAGAGTCAAAAACTTTTTCTCTGTGGTCGATGATGCTGCCTCTGCCATTGTTTAAATTTTGGGTTCACAGTTAAGTGCTTGTTCTACCATTCAATTATAAATGAATCAGATGGGTAGGTTCTAATAAATGATTTTAAATACCAAATCAGATTATTATATATCGAATCTAGTTATTATCTCTTGATTTTGAAGGTTATTTAATTCAACTTTAAAGAATCAAATTATTTCCTAAGTTTCATTTTGTGGACAATCTAGCTTTAAATAAGATTTGTTTTTTTAAAAATACTTATCAGTAGCTTCAAATCTAGTTTTATATCATATGAATATGACTTTATAGTAGATTATTTATTTTTTTATATATTTTAATCCGAACTTTGTGATGGGTTCTAATGAGTGAAATTATATGATTTTTGACTAAAGAGGACCGTTGACTTGGATATTATCTCTTGATATTTTAATTTTAGCTATTCAACAAAGAAATTACTTCCTAAATACTAGTTCTTATGATAGTGCTTACCTGGATACCGCGTTTAAATATTGTTAGAAGACTGAATTTGCTTGTTACCCTTTATATTTATAAGCAATTTTTTAATAAGGAAAATTGACTTGTGTTGTATATTAATTATCAATGTGGAAGAAAATATTATAGCAATTATAAAGTTTGTTTCATACTGTAAACATTATAGTTTTTTCGCTTGAAGGTGTTTGATTGGACACGAAGATTAAAAAAGAAAAACAATTATTGGGATGTATGAAAGGTATCTGCCAAACACACAAGCACACAATGGCCGAGTGTGGAAGGAAAAGTCTTGTCTTCTTCAATTGATTAACAAGAATATATATACAAGTCAAGTAATAAACCTTAGTCCTAACAAATATGAAAAACTAGTCCTAAGAAATATGGAAAAGAAAAACTCTCCTAGTCCTAAACATACAATATATTTACTATCCATATATGCCCATACACACACGCTTTAATACCCCCCCT